GGGGGGGGGGGGGGAGAGAAGGGGACTGCATGAGCTCTGCAGCCCAAGCAATTCAGAGACACTGCTTGCCCCAGCCCTGTCCCAGCGCACCAGAGACATGGAAAGATGCCAGCTCAGAGAGAGGGGAGACCTACTTGAGAGAGACGCCAACTTGGCCCTGCATGAACCCGCCTAGCTGAGGGCTTTCACACTGGGGTGCGTGTTCCCAGAGAGAAAAATTTGTAGAGGGAGCATGAGTGGAAAGAACAGAAAAGCAAGAGGAGGGAAAGGGGAGAGAGGGGTGGAGAAAACAGAAGGAAAAGAAAATGAGCTCTACAGTTCCTCAGGCTGCAGCGACAGACAGGGCTGCTTTGGCGCACTCTACAACACAGGGCACAGAGCAGGTATGAACATGCTTGGAAAAGGGTGTGAAATCCTGAAGCATCTTCAGAACCCGAGGCCTAGTGCACTGAGGCCTGGCCAAGCCCCAGGGCCTCCACCCTGCAACCTACAGCCACCCGGCTCTGTACTGCAAGGCACCTGGCGCCAACGCTTCACCGCAAACCCAGCAGCGGAGCCCCGTGGGGCACAGCTCAATGCCTGTGGTCTCAGCACCTCAGCATCAAACACTGCTTTGCACCTTGATGGAGCATTTCACCTGGGAGCTCTCAGCGCTGCAACTCTCATTAACTCTCTCAGGCCCACAGGGGAGGGAAACATCTCAGTTTGACCAAGGGGAAACTGAGGCACAGAATGGTGACAGATATATTATGAGCCAGCGTCAGGAGAAAACAGGAGTCCTGACCCCTGGCCTTTGCTCTCACTTCTCCCTTTCAGTTCAGCACTAACAAGCTTGGTGCTGCCTAAATCAGCTCCTAAACTCCTGGCAAGCTACCGACGCTACATCTGGGTATCACTACAATAACCACGTCCAGTCGCCATCTGAAGGCAGGCCAAGAATCGTGGTACTGGGGAAAAAATGGTACTGCCCATCAGTCTGCTGGCAGACAGGGAGAGAGAGGATCTTCAGGTCAAACTCTGCCCCTGGGGCTGGCAGCACTGCCAGGTGGATGTCTCAGTTTGAGAGGCAACTCGCAGAGGGGGGAGGACCAAGCCCATGCCAGGCCCATTACTGGGCATCCTCACCTCCACCAGGCAGTCTCCTACCAGCCCGACGAGCAGCCGGGCCCCGCCGTGCTCATACACCAGGGCGGCGTTCTCGGAGCGGTTCATGCAGGTGAAGTCGAACATGTCGACGTCGGGCAGGTTCTGGTGGTTTAGTGCAAACTCCATTTTGGGCAGCTGGTAGTCAGTGGAGAAGCTGGCTGCTTCCTTGGCATAGCTGAGGAGGGCTTCGCGGTTCACATTCTCGGAAGACAGCAGGCTCTCCGTGTCCGACTTGTCCTGCACCAACAAGACGGAAACAACTGCAGAGCTGACCCCTGGCACTGGTGCCCTCCGCCAAGATGCAGAACAAAATGCATTTGTGTGTGATGATCTGCACCCCCCACTTTTAAAAACTCTGGATATGCCCATGCCTGAACCTGTAATTAAAAACAGAAGGAAGGGGGTGGGACCAGGATACAGCAGAATATTGAGATCCCAGAGCTCACGCCTCAGCCCCTACCTACAGCTGCTATTCTCCCCTTCCTCCTAAGCAGGGCCCCCATGCTGACCCCCCCTTACCTCTAAAATGACTCCCATCTTTAGCAGACTCTGTTTTTTGGCCGTCATGACAAAATAGTGGGTATCATCTTTGTAGTAGACAATGTTTTCCAAGTCAATCCCTGTTCCAAGACACAAAACAGAAGACTTAGCTGGAGCTGGGCACTGTTGAAGCCAGCGCTGCTCTCTGCCCTACAGCCTGCTCCATCTACGGACAGCCGGACAGACAGTGGGCACCATGAGCATAGCAACCCCCATCCCACAGGAGGCCAGGGCTCCACCTCCCCCGTCTCCAAAAACCAGCTGGGACCTGGCACCGACCTGTTTTGTTGTAGAGTTTCTGGAAGAACTGCTGTTTGTAGATGCGGGCAACACCACTGATCTCGGGCACCTCCACCTCGGCCCTGCTGTGGTGATTGACAAAGTTCGTGGTGATGCCAATTGCCAGCTTGCCGCGAGTTTCCTTTCGCTTGAACCCTGGGGAGAGAGACACACACGCATCGCTGCTCTGCCACTGAGGTACTGCATGGCCTTGGTCATGTCACCCACTTGCAGCTGGTGGGAAGAACTCTCTAATGACAACTGAGCACCGGCAGGGGGTGGAGGGACCCTCCATGTCCCCAGGAGGGTCCCCGCCTGGCTCAGATGTGGGGCAGGGCAGCGCATCAGGGAAGAGGAAGAACTGGAAGCTGAGGTTGTAGGGATCTCCAAGCAGGCACAGAAAAAGCCCCACTGCAGGGCACTAGGTGCACTGTAAGTCAGGAGGTGGGCAGCCCTGGGGACACAGGCCCTTGCAGGGGTTAGGGCTATCCCGGAGCAGGGGGCTCCTCAGGTGCTGCAGCATCTCAAGGCCTTCTCCTCCTGCTCCATCTCCCCCCAAATGCATTTCAGACCTCTCCCAGATCCAGGCGCCCAGGCCTGCCAGGCTGATGAGCACTCGTTGGAAGGGGCAGAGCTATGTCCAGACTGAATTCCTCCCCTCAAAGCAACCCCAGCCTGATGAGACACAGGACACCCCTCTACCCCACAAGCTTGCCCAGGCTGCTCAGGGGGAGCTTCTTCCCATCCCCCTCCAAGAGCTGGGTCAGTCACAACAGCCCACTGCCCCAGGCAACGAGGCTGGAAGCAAGTGGTGGTTTCTGCTAGCCTGGCCGCATGGATGGAGGAGGATGGCTACTGCCAGTGGCTAGCCCCAGCACGACAGGGCTGCTGCAGGCCCAGCTGGGCCCCCCACGAGCCCTGCAGAGACTGAGCCAAGAGAAGGGTCATCGGCCTGTTGAAGACCTGGGGCACCCCCAGCCTTGCTCTCTGCTGGACACGGCCCCCTCCCGCCCGCCCCCACCTCTGATGCTGGGCAGCTTGGAGCACACACAAGCACGTACCTTCAGGCACAAATTTGCCACCTCCTGCAGAGATGAGAACATCAAACGTATACTGCCCCACGGGAGAGGAGTTTGGCTGCAGCGTGGCCCTCCAGCCACCGCCTGCTGGGAGAGGACAGGGAAGGGGGCATCAGCAGGGGACCCAAGATGAAACCTCCCTGCCCCTGCAAAGCACGCAGAGAAATGGCTGTGTGGCACAGCGGTTAGAGCACATGGGATTGAGTCACCAGATGAGGGCGCTAACCCCTGCGCTGCCGCTGACTCGTGGTGCACCCCTGGGCAAGCTGCCCCACATCCCACATCTGCAGAGTGGATATAAAGGCTCTGGGGCTGGCAGTGAGGCTGGATTAGCCCTTGAGGGCAGCCTGCTGCTTCAAATGAACCAGAACATGCCCTGGCATGGCAGCCTGAGTGGAAACCCACCTCCTAGCTCAAACCCATGGCATGAATGTGCCAGGCCTCTGCAGAAGCCCTTCCCTCCCCGCCACAAGTCAGCAGCAGTAATGAGCAAGAGAGGGATAAAGCTGGTCTCAGCCCCCCTCATGCACCCGCAAGGCAGCAGCACCATGCACGACAGCTGAACTAGCCACGGGCCAGGCCGGAGCAGCCTCAGTGCCTTCCCAGAAGACTGCAGCCCATCTGGGCCCCTTCTCCACACCCCCCGACACCCTGTGCAGCCCCACCAGCAGAGTGGGACAGAAGGGCTGCAGCACCCCAGCTCACAAGCCTACCCCTGCCGCTGGCCTTCGCTGCCGGGGGCAGGAGCCCCTTGAACTGCACGCTGGTATGGATCTCGACACCGAGGAGCAAGGCAACCTTGAGGAGGATGAGCTGGAGCTGGCGAATACCTGGAGGAGACGCATCCCCGGCGAGGAAGGAACAGGGGCTGGTTTCAAACTGCCCAAGAGATCCCCGTGTTAAACCCACCTCCATTCCCCTGCCACCACCAACACCCCCAGGGTAACTGACCCCATTCCACCCCTGCTTCCTAACCATGCAGCTCCCTACGGACCAGAGCCCAGCCTCGCCCAAAAGCCAGATCCAGGAGCTGCACTGAGGGTTGTACAAGCATTGCTTGGGGATCAGAGCCTGTGGCTGGGGGTGGGGGGAGCAGAGGAAGTGACTGTAGGTCAGAGGCCAAGCCCCTGCACGTATGCCTCTGCACATATTGGGCAAGCTGGAACAGAGGTGCCTTTGCTGTCACAAAGTGGGACAGCGGATGTGGTAACAACAGTTTTTTCCACCCATGAGAGCTGCTCTGGGATAGCACTCCCCACATGCCCAGCCCTGGCTGCTGTACTAGACCCCAGATACCGCCCCAAGCTCAGCCCCAGTGTGCCCCAGGTACCCTTCCCCCCGTACACACAGATCCAGCGCCAGCCTGCCTAAGACAGCCCCAAACATAAGCCCACCCCAGTGTGCTCATGCCCAGCTCAGCCTTAATAAGCCCCAGTCCCCACTCTTAATCTCCACTGCAGGACACGCTGAGCATCCCCAAGACCCAGCCCCTGCTGTACTAGACCCCAGGCATCACCTGCCTACTGGCCCATCCAGACCCCAGCCAAGTTTTGCTACCAAGGGTGATTTCCCCTGTCCCCTGCCCTGCTCACAACCTCATCCCCACTCACTGATGTGGTCCAAGGAGCCGGTGCAGAAGCGCCCGTAGAACTTCTTGGCGCCCAGTGCCCGCAGGTCATGGATGGTGAAAGGCCAGAGGTGCAGCACGTTGTTGCGCGAAAAGGAGTCTCTCTTCTCCACCACCACAACCCGAGCTCCCAGGAAGGCCAGTTCGATGGCTGTGCGGAGCCCGCAGGGGCCCGCCCCAATGATCAGGCACTGGAAGGAGCGATCACAGAGCTGAGCACAGCCCTGTGTGGACAAAGCCTCCCGCACAACCACCACCGTGATCTCTGGGGATGGGGAGAGGGTCCCATTGGCTTGCTGAGGGAAGGGAGATTAGCCCTGGGCTAAGTCTAAAGGCCTCGGCTTCTGTGAGTGCGAGATGGGAGGTGATGTCCGCACAGCAGCACTGGGGTGACTCTATCAGAGTTGGGGGTGGGGGGGCAGGGCCAGCCAGACCCCCGCAGCACGCATCCCAGGCTGCATCGTGGCAGATGCACAGGAACCAGGAACCTCCAGAGCTGAAAAAGCCACATATTGCTACAGCTTGTGCTGGAGAGCCAGCATCCACAGCTGGGGGCTGCAATAGCTCATATCCTCTGTGGGCTGGCACAGAGGAAGCCTTGCAACATGCACTCACCCACAGGATGCACAACCAGCCCTAGGTCTGCTCCTAGCCCAGCAGACTCCCTCCTCCCAACTCTCCCGGGGCACAGTTATCCATGGGCCTTCTCTGCACCGGGGATCTGCTCTGCAGCCTCCAGTGTAAAGCCCCACTGGAGACGGGCAGAGCCTCCAGAAGCCACCACGGGCACTGGTCCAGCCAGCCCCGGTGCCAAGACAGTGCCTCATAGCTGGGGGGCAGCTATGCTGCAGGCTGAAGCCCTCTGCACGGATAAAGATGACCTGCTGTTCCTCAGCAGAACCGGATGCTTCCCTCTGCTAGGGATGCAGAAAGCTCGACTGCAACAGCTTGACAACAATGTATTTCAGGCTGCTCTTGTCCAAGGACAGAGGGACGTGGGGGTAAATCTTTTGCTGAAGCCAACTCACCCTCCCCGCAGCACTCAGCACTTATCCCCTCTGGCTGGGACACAGCCAACAAAGGCATTAACTCCTGAAAGGGGGACCAAGGAGCTGGGAATCAGTGTTGGCAGCAGGAGATCCCAGCTCCCAGCCTGGCAGAGGTCTCCCATGCAGAATGGATGCACCCTCCCCTCCTTCACCTCACAGGAGCCCAGTTGCAAACAGGGCCCAGGCTGCAGCTGGCAGGCAGAGCCCCGCAGGGCTCCCCCTGCCCCACGCGCCACATAGCGATGGGCTGCGTTTGCACCACGGCTGTTGACGGTGCTAACTGGTGCACTGCTGAACTGCCAAGGCCTGCCACTAATGGCAACAACCCTGCCTATGCTAATGGGTGCCTTGTGGGGTGCTCAGACCCCTTCCACACCCCGCTCAGCCCAGCCTGGAGGAATAAGCTGGGGCAAGGGATGGCACGGCCTCCCTGCTAGCTCAAGAAGCCTCCATGCAGCTGCCTGCGCAGACACTCCGGCAGGTGCGAGCACAGCTGAGGCAGAGCTGATGAAGCAGTGGGTTGTTAATCTCCACACGCAACAACCACAGGTCTCCTTGGCCCTTTCCCTCGCTCTCTGCAGGGCCCTGCCCCAGCCCCACCGGCCAGTCTGGGCCATCCTACCTTGGTGTTGGCACATGCCCTGCCCTGGTCGTAGTCCTTGTGCCCAGCCTTCTTGTCCAGCTTGCTCCACAGGGCCTTGGCACTCCAGTAGTTGAGGCAGGCTTTCAGCTTGTGGTAGAAGCACAGCTGCCCCGTGTGCTCCAGGCCCAAGTGCCCGCACAGCGCCCGGAAGCTGCCCAGCACCTCCTCGCACTCGTTGGCACGGAGAAAGGTCTCGAACAGGGCATGAGCCGGATTGCACTGCTCTCCATCCGGAGCGCTCATCCTGGGGCACGGTGCAGCAGAGGGAGCCTGGAAGAGAGCGAGATGCACAGGCTGAGTGGAGAGGTGCAGCTGGGAACCCGGGGTCTCACGCTGCACCCACTTTGCTGCCCCCAGGACTAGCACGGGCCCGGTGGTCCTGCCGCTTCCCCTCACAAACACGCTGGACTCGTTCCAAGACCCCGCTCGGGGCACTCCGCAGGATTTGAACCCAGAAGCTTCAGAGCTAAAATCCTGAGGGCTGTGTTACAGCCTCTGGAGAAAGACAGGGTAGAGAGGCCTGAAGACCGACATGCTCCTAAGCCAGGTCGCATGCACGAGGATACAGTCCCCCTCAGCCCCTGCCACTGATCAGCCCATGCCCTGACACACGGAGCCGACCGCTCTCATCAGCATTACTGGCACCTCCGGCTTCCTGCAGTGCTGAGTTCTGCTGGGTGCTTCAGTGCTGCAGCCGCCGAGCTCACAGCGCGCTCAGGAAAGGAGGGTGGAGTCCCAGCTCCCTGCTCAGAGGCGAGCAGAAAGCCTGACATGCACGAGTCCTGATCAGTCCCAGAACGAGCAGGGCACCTGGGCAAGGCAGGGGGACTGGGGACTGGGCACATCCCCCTCCCCTCTGCCCCCCGATAGCCCTGCTTGCCTCATTACAGAGCCATCCGAGTGTCACAGGATCGTCAGCCCTGGTACAAAGGATGGCGGAGGGGATGGTGGCTCAGAGCTGTGCACAGTGGGGCCCAAAAATGGAGCAGCAGGACAGGGGGGAAGCACAGGTGGCAGGTCAGAGCTGCACTGCTCTCCGTGGGGGAAAGCCTGCCCCTGGATGCGGGAGGGAAGCCAGGGTTTTGGTGGTGGCTAGATGTTTGCAGGGAGCACCCCTCTGCAGCTGGCTCACATCAGCCGCTGCTCTGATAACAGAAGAGCCAAGAAAGGGTGGGGGAGAGACCTAAGGCCCCCTCACATCCCAATCTGGCACACAAAACAAGGCTCCCAAAGCTAAATTTAGGTACCTGAATGTGAGCAGCACCAAGGGGCAGGCCACCCACAGGCCCTGCTGAGGTCCCCCGGAGCTGCAGGCTCAGATCTTAATGCACCAGATGGAAGATCCTTGCTCTAGGCACCACGTTTAAATGCTCTGGCCCAAGAACTGCCTGACGTCAGGGACGCAGGCGGGCGCGCGGGGGAAGCCAGACCCCAGTGACTGATGACTTCCCCTGAGCAACATGCACCTGGACCTCCCACAGCAGACATGGGAAGTGCTGGAGGCAGCATTAGCAAAGGCCTCTTACTCTTCCTTCCGCTTTATCCTCTGCCCGGGGGTTCCCCTCCTGAAGCACGGCCTGCCTCTGAGGGGGCAGGGCATGAGCTGGCAGCAGCGGCTGGCACCGGCACTGCCAAAGACTGCAGGCTCCTCCTGCACCCCCACCACTGTGGGGCTCAGGGATATTGCATCCACGGAGCCACAGGCAAGCCTGGGGCTTCACACCAAGCACGCAGAGCCCTGAGCATGCAATCAAGGCAAGGGGGGAGGTCTGCACCCCCCACGTTCCCAGATCATCTGTGCGGCAGGGAGCCGCCATGAGGTGGGCAACGCGAGTGGCGAGCAGCTGATATGTCCCAATGAGGAAAGGTGGCCGTGGGTGGCTGCGGTCAGGAAAAATGACTCTTTCTGAGGGGGCCCTTTGTGCTGCCCACAGCTGCTTGCGTCAGGCCTGCCCACTCCGGCCGGGCTCTGTGGGCATCTGTCTTTGTTCCCAAGGGAATTCAGGACCAGCTGTCAGCAACTCCTGCCCAGCGCTTTGCCCCAACTCCAGCCCAGACGCCCTATGGCAAGCCCCAGGCTATCAGGGCTCACCTCCAGCAACTTGAGCTTGAGCTACCACTTGAGAGGTCCCCGTAGGCCAGTGGTGCGCAACCTTTTTCGACTCCAGGCCCCCCTCGAACAGCGCCAGCCTTAGCGTTCACTCTCTTTTTGACTACCAAAAACACCAGAGCCGTTCTCCTGTAGCAAACGGCTCGGAAAGTGCAGAGCAGGGCAGAGTGGTTTAACTCTGTGGGTTCCTATTTGAAATCTCAGGGTTCATCTTGCACTTCATGAGTGCTAACTTTGTGTGGCGCCCCAGGGCACCCTTGGAAGGCGCTCAAGGCAACCCAGGTGCTGCAGCCCCCTGCTTGCGAATCACTGCCCTAATCTGACTTCCACCCACAGGCACAGGTGGCGAGCTCGAGTACAGAGGTGCTCCGGCTCCAGGCGGCTGGGCCGTCAGGGTGGAGCAGGGATTCAGCATCTCAGGTTATGCCGGCTCATCCCACGAGTGCGGTTACTCCCACCAAAGCCTTCTGAGTGAGCGGAGAGAGCATCCCTGAGCAC